CCTTAGCAAAGCGCATCCCAGGCTGCATAGCCGCACTACCCTACCCAACCATACCACACATAAACATGACACTACCCCCGGGGTTTACACAGACGAGCCGGCGAAGCAAGAAGAGCGCCAGAAGAAAGGGCCCTAGCCGGCGGGGCCCAGCCAGGACAAAAGGAGGTCCCACAAAGCGCCTACACCGGCCGCATTTGCGGTCGGGGTAGACGACGGATGGGGCCCACCTACGAAGGCTGTCCAGGCCTACACGAGATGAGGCAGGATAAAGAGGGATAATCCCCCTCGATCCCAAATCATTGAGGCCAATTTCTAGCCAAATTATATATTTTGTGGTCAAATCCGTGCAGACTTTCGTGCCGAAGTGTAAGGCCAATGTCCCATGCATCCGAAATCCGATGTACGATATCCGAAAATATTTTAATTCGTACGAATGATAATATAATTATAATTCACATGCATCCGAAATTAATCTCATAGAAATCAAGTATAGAACTATGGAATTTATTACAAGATGAAGGTGAAACATTTTCAAATGACAACCATATGTATATATTATAGAAAATATACGTAGTAAAATATTTTCTACATTCGACATTATAACATTTATTTGACTGTAAATATATCAAACAAGAATCATAGTATGTTAAAAACTTAAAGTGAGGTTAAAAAACATACGATTTCGGATAAAAGTTAAAATTATTTCTACTTTTTCCGACGTCGTATGAATTTAAAAAATTTCGGATTAAAATGAGCGGTAAAAATCTGAATGTATATTAACCAATAGGAACACTTTCGGACCTTCGTATGGTCGGAATTCGGATGCATGGGACACCGGCCTAAGTTGGCTTGGCTAGCAAATTTATTCTGAATGCACCTTAAAGGTGACGTACTGCTCCGTATTCTTCATGATCCAGGTCAAGATATCTTGGAGCCACTAGGAGTAGCATCTAACGAACAGGGCTATTGTTATTTCAGGTGTGTTCAGCACACGATTGCTCAATGCTCATCGAATTGTCATCGTATGATTTTCTTAACGCAACCCATTTCCTTTACTTATCGATATGATAATTCGATGTATGTAAATAAGAAATTAAAAATTATATAAGATGTAGCTGTCATAATTTTGTCTATATAGTCGCCATTATGAATTATGTTGAATAATTAATATAAGAAAATTCCCTTAACTTCAAAATAAAAAGTAAGAATTTGCTTTAGAATCAGCGACAAGGTAATTAAAAATATTTCATGTCCAACTACCCAAGGAAACTTTTGTTGCAAAGTGAGGTTAGCAGCTGACAAAGAAAGGATATTAGGGTTCCTAATAAAATTGCGAAATCCTTAATAGTTGTATTGGAACAATCTAATAATTATTCAAATCGGGACATTTTAAAACCTTGTATAGTGAAGAAAGCTTTAATAATTATAGTAAATAAGAAAACAGGGAGAGTTCCAAAGAAACTTTATATTCGTTTAAATAAAGTAAATAATTTGAAATTAGTTATTCGATTAGCAAGAATGGACTATGAAACAATTCAAAATAGTGGCGGTGAACATCCACCAAGGAAAAAGGCCAAAAATATTGCTGAAAGGGATCCTGCAAAAAGAGATTTAGCTACTTTACCTGTGAGTTTTTTAAAGATGCGTTGGGTATTTGTAATTATCCATAAATGGTTTTTTTCAGGCTGATATTCTATTGAAAATATTTAGGTATTTAGATTTGAAGTCTATTAATAACTGTGCGATGTTGTGTTCAACTTTAAATAATGTGTCAAAGGACAGTTCTCTATACAAGAAGGTTATGTTAAAGGTGAGATTTAATTATTGTTATTATGTAGTGTTATAAAAATATATTTTTTAGTACAATATGAATACACAGTTTTTAGAATCGTTTATATCTAAAATATCGAGTCCTAGAGAGGTATACATAGAATATAAATTTTATGATCAACATGCTGAAGTTGGTGACTATCATGATTTTAATAAATATATTGAAATGTAAGTAATTTTGGGGTATCCAGTGTACCTACTAAAGCTAAGCAGTTGACATTTTTTTGCTAATTTATTTTTCAGTATGTTAAGAAAATGTGGAGAACATATTTTATCCTTAAAAATCGAGAGTTGCCGGAATGAGGAATTGTTATTAAATATTTCTGAATGTATTCATTTGAAGAGTAAGTACTAGACAATTAATGTACACTGCCGATATGTTTTACCGTTTATTTTGTAGGGCTGACATTGTACAGATGTAAAAGTTCATTTAAAACACTGCCATCCATAGGATCATTAACAAACATTAGTTTCGTATCGTGTCATTTTCCCCAAAAAACTGTTAGTGAGCTTGTTAAGAATAATCCAAATTTGAAGTATATCTCTTTGTGTAAGTATAAGATTTGTCTTTTTTGTTCTAAATGTAAGTTTTAGTTTCTTTTCAGCCAATAACGTAAACGTGAATGCAAATGAAATATGCGAAGTAATGTCCAAGTACAACCTATTAGTTAAAGAAATACATTTTAGCGAAAGAAAAAGAGTAAAGTCGAAAAGTTTGAGAACCCTCGCAAGACTGACTAATTTACGAAAATTAGAACTAATATCTGGCCCTGGCTTTGATAGTGATCCAGAGGATGCTCTCGAGCAGTTAGCAGCTGGATGTCCCCAATTAGAAAAGTGAGGTTCATAACATAAAGTCATTACATTGTAACGAAATTGTTAGAAATAGAATATAAAATTAATTTATATTGATGTTTTGTAAATAGTGTAAATATTTCTAATTTCTAACAAATTAAGTCTACTACATTTAAAAAATTGTAGTAGCTGTTTAAATAATTTTTTCATAATTACATATGATTTTAGGTTAGTTATATACGGATGGAAAGAAATTAATGATGACAATTTTATACCTGCTTTACATATGCTGACACAATTAAAGGTACTAGATTTAAGAGGCACCAATATTACCATAAAGAGCTGTCGAGAAGCTGCCCTTTCTTTACCTTTACTGAAAACTATGGATGTGATAAAATGTCATCGAGTGAACAAAGCTCAGGTGGGTAATACAAATAAAGCGTATACTTGAAATAATGACAATAATTCAATTAATGCCATTAAACATAAATAAAACAAACATTACTAGAATAGGCCCCATGCAGAAAAAAATATTTTAATAGTTTTTGCATCTACACTGAATACTACAAACAATGTATAAAGGTTTTGTTATATTAATTTATTTTTAAAAAGTTATTGGATATTAAAGATTTAATCGGTTCGCTTCACGCGCAAAAGCCATGGACTGGGATGTCGATACGTTGACGTCGTCGGTAAGTAAATGGCAAGCGCCACATATACAATAACGCCTTTCGACAGTGCAACTGATTGCTCTGGTTATTAAATATATGATTAAATATGTGGAGTGGTGTCAATAAGCATTACGATACCTTATCCTTATATATAAACTGTAAATTTTTGAAATTAAACTTATAATAACTATGGCAAATCCCTCTAAATCATACTATTACTGGTGCATTGTACCAATGTGTGAAAATACATCGGTAAAAATGCCACAAAAAAAATGTATTTTAAAATAAATTTATGTAGATACCTATAAACTATAAATCACATTTTCATACCAGTTTGCTTTTATTCCCCTTATTTCTGCCGAAGAAAATAAAATGCTTTTCGAAAAAACTCGCAATCATCATGGCATCCACTCTCGGTAAATTGTCTGATTGGGCTTTAGCATAACCTTGTTCGGTCATGTTACAAATATTCTTAAGAATTTTTAAAAAACTAAAACTAATAATTATGATTATTTAAAATAACAAATTTAAATTCAAAATGTTATTTAGGTAGTAAATAATATTATGCTACGCGCGGAAAGCTCACATGAACTAAACGTCGTAAAAATAAATATTATACCTACACAGACTTAATTATTTTGCTACATAGGTGCATATTTAGGTATACCCACATAATACAATGGAAATCAGTTAGTATATAACAACACATCAGTATCGTTATCGTATTGTAAGTAAACTAAAAATAATAAATGTTTTTAACCTGTTAACTGGATATGACGAATATATCCATGTATATATAATCATGTTATTATGTTTATCACGAATATATTCGCGATCCCATTTTTGGAGGGGCTATTAATGGATAATTCGAATATGTTCGCCTGTGGTAAGGCATACGCATCCCCACCCTTTGGTCTACAATTTCATGTAATATTTTCCTTATTTTACCACATATCGCTAGCAACACACAGCAGTTACACTTGGACATTAGAAAGGGCAGCATCTTGTCTAAAAGAAGGCGTTTATCGAGCGACTCTGAGTCAGATCTGAGCGAAAGTCTCGACCTAAGCGAATCAGAATCCAGTGCATCTGGCGAAAGTGATTATAATGTGTTTAGTGACGAATCTTCGTCCGAGGAGTCTGATGTTGAGGATATTTTCTCAGATGTGCCTTGGTCGGAAAAAGGAATTCCTAGGCCTTATTTTCCTTTCACAGCACATTCTGGTGTACAAGCTACGATTGATGATCCGGATGATGTATTGCAAATATTTGAATTATTTTTCGATGACACTATTATAAATATAATCGTCGAAGAAACAAACACGTAATATTTATTTTTCTAATAACTTTATAATTCTCACTTCATAATTGTATTTTGTAATTGTAGATACGCCACTCAGTTTATTCTTCAAAATCAAGAGAACATCGGACCCAAATCAAGAGTTCGTAAGTGGAAAATCACAAACCCGGACGAAATAAAAACGTTTATTGCAGTATTGATTTTGCAAGGAGTGTGCCTGAAACCATCTTATGAATTGTATTTCAGTAGACGAGAAAGCATTGAAACACCTTTCTTTGGCAAAATTATAACGGAAACGCGATTTCGCTTATTACTAAAGTTTATGCACTTCGCTGATAACAACCTGATGGATAAAAACTGACCCGATAGAAAATTATACAAAATAAATCCCATTTTGCAGCACCTAAAAATTAAATTTATGTCTGTGTATACCCCCGACAAAAACATCTCTGTTGATGAGTCACTCGTGGGTTGGAAAGGCCGCCTTCAATGGAAGCAGTACATCCCTTCCAAAAGAAAGAGGTTTGGTATAAAAATGTTTGTACTTTGCGAATGTTTTTCTGGTTATGTCTATAATTTTACGGTCTATACTGGAAAGGATACAGACTATGGAAATAAGTATAATCAGGAACCATTGGCAACAAGAGTTGTTTTACATTTGATGGACCCGCTCTTAGACAAAGGATATTGCCTTTTTATAGACAACTATTATACAAGCCCCAACTTAGTTCAACGATTACTAAAACAAATGACTGACTGTATAGGTACTCTTCGAACAAACACAAGGAGTTCCACCAGAAATAAAAAACAAAAAGTTAGAAAAAGGTGAAACTGTTGCGTTGTTTAGGCGTAAAGTTATGATTCTCAAGTGGAAAGACAAAAAAGATATAACGATGCTAAGCACTGTACATGATGATAGTATGATAGAAATAGAAAGAAGAGCGGGTACAGTAAGAAAGCCAAGCGTCATATTAGATTACAATAAACAAATGGGTGGAGTGGACTTAGATTTTACAAAAAAATTTTTCTGCATATGCTCAATATTACAATTTTAAATAGCTTTATAATTTATAAGAAAAGTGGAGGCAAGAAAAGTAGATTAACTTTTATCATCGAACTGGCGGAGAAACTTATAGCAAAATATGGGAAAGCAAGAAATATTTAATCAAGGCGCTCTAAGGTTAGTAATATAACACGTTATACTGAAAGGCATTTTCCTGCGATTATTCCGCCCACAACCCACAAAGAAAAACCAACTAAAAGATGCGTATTATGCACAGAAAAGGGAATACGAAAAGAATCTAGATATTGGTGTCTGGATTGTAGGACCGGCTTATGTCCGGCTCCATGCTTTGGTATATATCATACAAAATAATGTCGCTATTTTTATGTAAGTTAAACTTAGTACTGCCATTAAAGTTCATTATTATGTACTCCCATTTTTTATTTGTCCTACTTTACAATGATTAAAGCGTATATATTCGCGCGCGCCCATGCGCAATGAATATGACGAATATGTTCGCTAGCAGTAATTTGAGGTGCCATTACATTACTGACCAACGTAAACGTGTGCCAGTTAAGAGGTTAAGAAGTAATAGGACCGAAATCGTTTTCTAATGTGAAGCGGCCAGTTTACTTACCGATGACGTCGCACCAATAACAACTCGTTCTACGACACGCCCCTACAGGATGCTCATCTCCAAATTTCAATGTACGATTTAGTCAATTTTCGAGTAGAATTTTTCACAAAAGATTTTATAATTAATAATTTTAAATAAGGCCATATTTAAATATGTGAATTATTATAAAAAATCCGGCATGTGCAAGAGGCCTATTGTAAACTAATTTTGAGGGATTTTTTTTTAAACAAAGCCTTGTGAAAACTTATGTGTTATTATTTTTTAAAGTATCGTCCATCATTAGCCACTACTTTTTCCTCTTCTTTCTGGCAGCATACGGATTCCGTGTCGAAAGAACAGCTCATCTTTTGATGCTATTCACCAATCAATCCCATTTTTCGTATCTTTGTAAGACTGGAAGTGCTGCTTAGTCAGTCCCTGTTCCATGGATCGGATCAAGTAATAATCTGGTGCATATAGCAGGTGAAGCAAAACGTAAAAAGTATCGGTATGATTGAAAAGCAAGGAAATTCAACGGCAAAAAAGAAAGGTTTTTTTTGCTTTGTATCATCAGTGACGATGAAAAATGGATATGCTGTCATAATCCTAAGCCTAGAAAATCATGGGGTTTGCCTGGTCATGCATCAACATCAACGTCAAGAATGTATATTCATGGTTCAAAGCTCATGCTCGTATTTGGTGGGACCAGCTTGGTGTTGTGTACTATGAGCTGCTTCAACTGAATGAAACCATCACAGGTGAACGCTACTGAACACACTTGATGCTTTTGAGCCGTACATTAAAGGAAAAAAGGCCTCAATTCGGCAAAGACACGATAAAGTAATTTTTCAACATGTCAACTATCGACTACATGTTGCTCATGAAGTCAAAAATTACTTGGAAATGCTGAAATCGGATGTTTTACCCCGCCATATTCACAAGATATTGCTCGACTGGATTGCTATTTGTTCCCATCCACGGGACGCGGTCTGGCTAAGCAGCGTTTCCAATCTTACAAAGATATGAAAAACTAAATGGATTGGTGGATGGTATCAAAACATGAGTTGTTCTGCCAGAAAGGTGGGAAAAAGTAGTGGATAGCGAGTAGTGGATGGATTTGAAAATTAATAATGCAAACAATTTTTCTCAATAAAGCCTTGAATTTATAAAAAAAATCCCATAAAATTAATTCACAATTCTAGTAATTTCTGCAATTACTAGACAGATGAGGTCTTGGTATAGGGGCAATTCTAATATTAAAAAATTAATGCCAATGTCGACGCCATTTTTACGTTGTAGATTGAATTATTATTTGGGATTACTAAATGACAATACAGGCTGTTACAAATTCGCTTCTCATTACAGGGATCTCGGGAACGGTAAGAGATAGAAAGTATCTTAAATGGGGGCAAAGTTGCATAATGAGGAGACCAACATTAGCCTCTAAAAAATCAAGGCTAACGTGATTAGTTTTCAAAATATTTGAAACAAACAGAAATTTATTTATTTATTTTTAAAATGTAACGTTTCGTCTCTCCAGAACCATCATCAACTTAATTTTTTTAAATACGACCCTGGAAATTTTATTACATTTTTTGCAAGCCTTCATGACCACCAATATTGTACTGCCTCAACCTGAACCAGATACAGACGTTTTGTATAATAATATCACCTCAAACAAGATAAATGAAACAAAAACAGATTTCCAAAATTTCCTTTTTTTTTCAAATATTTCGAAAACTAATCATGTTAGTCTTGATTTTTTAGAGGCATAATGTTGGTCCCCTGATTATGCAACTTTGCCCCCATTTAAGCTACTTCTTATCTCTTACCGTTTCCGAGATACCTGTAGTGAGAAGCGAATTTGTAACAGCCTGTATATTATATGTGATTTCTAAAGTATAATTAATTACTATAATAATTGATTCTAATGTAAATTAAATTCTTATTGGATAGGTATAATGTTGAAATTCAGTAGCTTTAGAATACCACAAAGTTTAGTCAGGTTTTACTTAAGTAATGAGAAATTTAATTGTCATTGAACAATAATTAAAAATTACAGAACAATAAATAAATTTGTGTATTCTCCCAGGTTCAATATATATTAGCTCTTAAATAATAATTAAATTATACCATAGCTAATCTTTGACATTGAATTACTTGTATATTTAATTGACCTTTAAATTTGGAAAATTTATCTTCAGTAGATTAAAGGTTAGAGTAGGTTTCGTATTTTTTTTTTTATTTATTATAAGTTTGACGGTGATCAGTTGTGTGTTTTTCTATTTAATAGTTGAAATTCTAGGTCCATGAAGTCGTTTATACAGAGCGTTCCTTTTAAATGACCTACTCTTCATAACTGTATGTCAAAAGTCAAAGAAATGTCCTTTTACTCTATCACTGTACTCGTAAAAAAACGTTCTTTGAAATACATAGAAATATACAGTGTTGCATTAAAAACTATGAAGTTTTTTATTATATCTGAAAAAGTAAAAATTTGAGAACAATGCAGTTGCCCTCATCAGATCAACCATGTTCTTTTACCTCTGGATGTCAAATGTGACATCAATTAAACAATTATAGTTGTTAGTATATCATAAAAAAATACTCCATATATATAATCGACATATTATTAGTTTTATTTGGCTTTTTTTAGAAGCCAAAGGCATCAAATTAAATTAATTTACAAATATATGCTTCTAAAAATAATACAGGGTGTTCCGAAATTAATGCAACAAAATTTGGTGACAGATTCTTAAGACAAATTTAGGGAACCCGTATTTTTTATTTTTACCAAGTGGCCCCTTCTTTCGTAGTTACAGCCCCCTGAAATCTGCCCCTAAGAATAATCTTTTTTTTATATCTCAGAACCCTGTTATTCGAGGATGACTAAATTTGGTACAAAGGGGTTGTATGACATGTGGAATCTGAAGGTGTTACGCTTTTTGGCGGGGAACCTCCTTAATACAATTTTTCATGGGACCCCTTGTCTTTGGAGCCAAAAAAAATTGGTTGCATATTTAAATTTCTTAAAAATTATTTATATGCATATCGTGATTCACCATTTTCCTCAAAAACATTGCGTTTTACGAAAAAAATATCACGAGACAAAAAGTTTCTAAATTCAATGGCTTTCTAGCTACCTAATAATTTTTAAGAAATTTTAAAATATGACCAAATTTTTTTGGTTCCAAAGGCAAGGGGGCCCACGAAAGTGTCTTAAAGGGGTTCCCCGCCAAAAAGCGTAGCACTATCAAATTTCACATGTCATAAAACCCCTGTGTACCAAATTTAGTGATTCTCGTACAAAAGGATTCTGAGATATAAAAAGACTATTCTTAGGGGCAGATTTCAGGGGTCTGTAACTCCTAAAAAGGGGTTACTTGACAAAAAGAAAAAATATGGGTCCCCTAAATTTGTCTTAAGAATCTATAAAAAAAATTTGTTGCATTAATTTCGGGACACCCTGTATAATAGACATTATTTATATTTTAGCTTGCACAACTGCAAAAGGATTTCATGGAAATACACATCCCATTGGAGTAGAAAATCTGTTGTGTTCTTACCATTGTATATTTTTCTTTACACTTATTTCTTAAATCATATTTATTTTTAGCATCAACATTTTTATATTCCAGTTATATTTTCGTTTCATATTTGAACGTGGTGTTTCATTAACTAAGTTGATTGTAGAGTAAAATGTAAGCAGTGTTAATATGTTGTAATCTAAGAATATAAAGTAATTTTGTATTTATTTTAATTTTTTATTATACCTAATATATAATAGTTTAAACTTGGTTTTGGCTAAATTCTTTTTAAAATAATTTATTTTAAGTCGACTTTATTACTAGAAAAACAAAATTGATGCAATAAAATTAAAATATTGGTCATTACATACCCATCTAGTTTGTTATTTTACTAAAAAATATTTTTCGTTCAAATTATAAGTTAAACAGTATTTATATATACTGTTTAAATATTTAGGTAAGCAAAAATTCCTTCATAATACAGTATTACTACTTGTTCACGTCATTCCAGCACCAGCTTTGCACGCCACTGTATTGTAACTTTCCAGAAACAGTATATGCCGTATTGGGCGTTTTCAATTTAACCGCGTTTATACTGCATTTTAATTGGACAGGTGAAAGGCATAACCTATATTTTTGCACGATGTTGAACGTTGAACTTCCAATCGTCAGCTTGGGGGTCACACCACTGAGATTGGTAGTTGCTATCGATAAACTGACAGTGTTTTATCTTTATCTACACAATTTTTGTAAATAAATACGATTTCGCTATGTCAGAGCCTCAGTGCAAACGAAGCAAGATGCCGAGCTCCCTCGATCAGCTGAAGGCCCTTACGGTCGTTGTTGCCGATACCGGTGACTTTGAAGGTAAGTACCCAAGTTTATACCGTTTTGCATTCTCTTTTGTATATTATCGCTCGGATGGTTCTAGAATTTTATAATCAATTGATTTCCTGACAGACATATAGTTACCTAATTACTTATTTTTGCATTTTCACCAAAATAGTCGTAGAATACGCAGACTTGATTCATTACATATTTACATTTGTTAACCCTTTCCTCTGTTTAATTTTTCCATTATTAGGTTAGTCGGCTAGTCGTTTATTATAGTTTACGTTTACATGGTCAATAACAGAAACAGAACCACTATAAAAAGTTTTAATACGTTTCCAAAACTGAAAAACATTGAAATGTATACTGTCAATCTGACCTTGGAAGTTGAATAAAGATTATTTTATCATATAAATCGTGTAGTCTTATCAAAAGTGGTTCTCTTAAAAAATATTCTCTTGCAATGGATACAAATTTGTTAATTAATTAAATAGCATTTTTTAATGTACCTATTGAAGTAGGAATTGAATTGTTTGATACGTTTATAATATATCTATGTAATTATGCTAATATCATGCGTTTACGTTTCATTGCGTAAATCACAAAAGTTTTGTAAGTACCTATATAATATTATTAGGTACTTCAGATGAGATTATTGCAAATAAGTGGCTCCTACAAAAAATAGTAAAAAAAATAATGGTACCTTTTGACGTAACTTTCACGTATGTAGATTTATATTATGTATCACAAACATCTTGTGCTTGATCATTGATCAAATGAAATCATTTGCATCGATCATTTTTATCAATATAAAATACTGCCTCTCAGCTTTCAGTCTAGTAGGTATGTACCTTAAAGTAGGAGGCAAATTTGTAGAATTGTTTTCATTAATTTTAAAATATTTGATACACGAAATCGTGCAAAAACTCGGATTCATATAAATGTTCTGGAATAAGTGCTGCAGTAGGATTACAAATAGAATTTTAAATTTTAAAATGAAAAAAAGGATGACCTCTAAAAAACTCATTGCGGCACGCACCTAATTAATGTCACTATCGGCTTATGAAATTGGATGGACTGCTCAATTGAAAAGCCTATTTTATTGTTAATTATATGAAGTGTATAAATTCCATAGTTCATTATATCATTACTTATCTTCTATGGTTCTGACTGCCAGCGACATTTTATTTATAGTGGCGCATTCAGAAAAGTTTTAGAGGTTGAATTCAAATGATAGTGGTTTTATAATATTAAATAAGTGAATACAAGCCTTGGATAATGGTTCATCTAAACCTCTCCATTTAGGATCTGTTAATATCAACAAACAAGTTCTGTCACTAATAATAATTTCTATATTATTCAGCGATGAAAAATTACAAACCTACGGATGCCACAACAAATCCTTCCTTAATTCTGGCTGCGGCTACATTGCCTCAGTACAAATCTCTGATCGATAAAGCTGTTAACTATGGAAATAAAATTGGAACAACACAGGAGGAAAAGCTTGAAAATGCCATGGATAAGCTTTGTGTGTTATTTGGAACAGAAATTTTAAAAATCATACCGGGTAGAGTTTCCACAGAGGTTGATGCTAGGTAAGTCCCTGTCTAATTATTCCAAAATAAAAACCTTATATGCTTATATTTTTTAAAAGCGTGTTATAAATGTGGTTAGAAATATTTTTATAGCCAGTTATAGCTGTTTTACATTGACAATTTATTGATGAATAAATTGACGAAGTTCTTCATGAATTAATTCACGAATTTATTGATAAACAGTGTGGTTTGGTTTTACACTGCTACAGACTTTGTCAAGTTTTTTGACGCATGAATCGGTTCTACCAACGAATCGAAGAAGCAAATAAATTTCAAAAATATCACCTTTCCACTCATAATCGTAGTGATACAACAGTGGTACCGTTTTGACACATATTATATAAATATTAGTGTTTGTAAGTAACAAATCAGTAAAAACAATGCAAAACTAGTACGACGCCACACAATTATTTACATATTCCAATAACAAAACCTCATTACTGATCTGAGGCTGGAAATCTGTTGGGTTGGTACTTCCGAACTTCACGAAGAAACTGACGAAAATTAGAACATTAGTCCAGGCAAGTTAGACCAAAACAGATTTTTTCTGATGAACCGCGCCATTATTCTATGGCTAGAAATTGGCCTCAATGATTTGGGATCGAGGGGGATTATCCCTCTTTATCCTGCCTCATCTCGTGTAGGCCTGGACAGCCTTCGTAGGTGGGCCCCATCCGTCGTCTACCCCGACCGCAAATGCGGCCGGTGTAGGCGCTTTGTGGGACCTCCTTTTGTCCTGGCTGGGCCCCGCCGGCTAGGGCCCTTTCTTCTGGCGCTCTTCTTGCTTCGCCGGCTCGTCTGTGTAAACCCCGGGGGTAGTGTCATGTTTATGTGTGGTATGGTTGGGTAGGGTAGTGCGGCTATGCAGCCTGGGATGCGCTTTGCTAAGGTGGCCCTTAGGC